TGACATTCAATAAATGAAGAACACAGAATTTGTGTGATTATACTAAATTATACCAAAATACAAATAAACACCACTGCATATTTACAACTGTTAGAAATGGCAATGAACATCTGATTTAAAGAGCATTTTAGTTCATGGAGGAAATGCATCTGTTATGTAACTAGTAACACATTGGGAATATAAATGGTTATTTTCTATTCTGTACTCGATCTTACTTAATAGTAATGGGGGGGCGTGTGGGGGGGCGTGTGGTGCAGTGGGTTGGTGTTTGGATCAGGGGAGCACAGGTTCAAACCCCACTGCAGTCAGCATGTCGTTGTGTCCCTGAGACACTTCACCCCAAAGTGCTCCTGTGGGGATTGTCCACAGTATAGAGTATGTGAGTCTCTTTGGATAAAAGCGTCTAACAAGTGACATGTAATGTCATGTGATGTGATGTGATGTCATGTAATGTAATGTAATAACATAACATTTCAGACGATCGCAATATAAAAGATAATAGTCATTTTGTGATGTATCTGCGTGTGAACCTGTTCAGGTGAGTTGACCTGCTCCGCTCTCTGCTCTCTGCTGTCGGCTCACACAGAATCTGTGAGTCACTGAAACAGAAAACTGACCCATACGCCTCCAAGATTTTTTTAACGCTGCTGTGTGGACGCTCCCCCCCCCGGTACCGAAGTGGGCCGGTCGGTCGTTTATACACTGCACTGTACTGCGTTTATTATTTCTTAGATATAAAAACTCACAACCAATTTTATTGAAATGTTTAATATTCTTTTGATTTAATTTATCTACATTTTTCTTGGGAGGATTTTTTTTGTAATACCATTTGTATGTATTGATTACACCTCAGCCCCCTGGTGGTTAACTTTATAAAAGGTTCTTTTATGAAACTGGAAACAGATCAGGGCTTAGTTTAGTTTTTTATTCCAACAAACATTCAGTCCTTTTTTTACGTTAAGAATAATATATAAATATAAATACAGACGCTCTCCAGCATTCAAATAAAAATCATAAAATCAATAAAAACAATGAAAAATAAAAATAAATATAAAAACAATAATGAAATAATTAAAAAAACAATCAAAGTAATAATAATACTAAAAGTCTCAGGGCTGGTAGAGGGGCAGTTGGTCACAGAATCCGCCCGGAAACAGGGCCTCGCTCTGGGCCTGAAGAAGCTGCTGCGCCTCCTGGAGGTCGGGGAGGAAACTGCACGCCTGCAGGTCAGTGTATGGCGGGGGGGAGGAGTCATATAGGGAGGGGGAGGGGCCATATAGCGTGGAGGAGGAGTCATAGAGGGAGGGGGAGGAACCATATAGGGAGGAGGAGGGGTCAGAGAGGGGTGGGGAGGAGCTGCAGGAGTTATAGAGGGAGGGGGAGGAGCTACAGGTGTTATAGATGGAGGGGGAGGAGTTATAGAAGGAGGGGGAGGAGCTACAGCACTCCCACTGAGGCACCACGGCTCCGGTGGGGGACACAGCAGGGAGGTCATCGCTGCAATGCATCTTGGGAAGTTTGGGGCTGGGTTCAGAGGAGGAGGAAGGTTTCTCTGAAGCGTCAGATTTCCTCTTCCTCTTACGCCGGAAGTTCCCGTTGTCGAACATTTTCTCACAGTTTGGATCCAGAGTCCAGTAGTTCCCTTTACCTGGAGAGGAAGAGGAGGAGGAAGAGGAGGAGGAGGAGGAAGAGGAGGAGATATTATAACCACTGTTTATTCTCTCTGTCAGAAAACACATCTCAACTTTCATCAAATACTGTCAATGAATTCCTGTTTCCTGTTAATCACAAGCGAGACATCACTACAGAACACTCGCGCTCCTATTGGCTAGCGCTCCAACACATTGTACCTGATAGGCTAAGGGGCGGGACATCTCTAAGCTTGTTGACCATTTTATTCTAGATAAAGTTTAACTTCAGTTTTATATACTTTAAATAAAGGTGTGTGTCTCACCTGGGTCGCTGTGGCTCCGCCCCTCCTTCCGGAAGCAGTCGTTGAGTGACAGGTTGTGTCTGATGGAGTTCTGCCAGCCCGCCTTGTTCCGGCTGTAGAAGGGAAAGTGTTGGCAGACGAAGGCGTAGATTTCTCTCAGAGTGAGGCGCTGCTGAGGAGAACTCTGGATCGCCATCGCTATCAGAGCCGAGAACGAGAAGGGCGGTCGAACGCAGGGCAGCACGGAGAACCAGGGGCCCTGCAGGGGGTAGACGGGGGGCAGGAAGGGGGCGTCGCTGCTGGGGGGCCACGAGGAGGCCTCTGCGCTGTAGAGGCTGAAATCTGACGGGTCCATGCCCAGAAAGGGGACCTGCTGCTGGGGGAGGGTTCCTCCAATCAGAGAGGAGGGGGAGGGGCCACACTCCGGGACGAAAGAAGACATCATCGCCATCGATTTCTTCTTCTTCTGAGAGTGTGTGAGAGTGTGTCCTGTAACTGTCTGCTCACCTGAGCTCTTATACTCTCATTTTACTGTAGCCCCGCCCTCAGAGCAGCTGATTGGCTGCT